GATATAAGACTTGAGGTTCTCACAGCGGTGAATATCGATAGCTTTAAGTAATCTGTACCACGATAATAAAGAATTCCTAACTAAAATTTAGGACAACGAAATCACTATCGCATCACGTTTCAGCGTACACACTGATTTCCCTTGACTCTTCAAACTGAAAGAGACCGTCAGAGGCCCAGTTGCACAGAGATACAGTCTCACCCCATATTAACAACACCAACTACAATAACAATCTACAAGCTGACAGTCCCTAAAACATGGGCTCCATACAGACCAAGAAATGGTCAATGTCCAAACACATTTGGCAGGTGCACGCGCCATCTGACCTCGGTGATTGTGCCTGCAGTGCATCCTCAATACAGGGCTTAGATTAACCCCTTGAATCCGAAGCTCATATGAATAGCAAGACTCAGCTGCTTCCGCAAAGAAAACAACTCTTCTCCACTTAGTTGATGCTGTTGGAGAAATCAGCGCTGTTTACACTGAAAATCATAACGAAGCCCATAGATTCTTAAAGCAGGTGGTAAGTATAATTCCCACTGGGCTTTAAATGGTTGAGAATGTGTCCAGGTTTATGCCCTCTGCAGCTACAATTATGATGTGGCAGGCACAGAGGAAACTGCCTTGCCGCTTTGTGTATACTTAGTTCGAGTACTGAGATCAGAACAAATGAAATCGTCCGGCGAAAAAAAAATCTGTCTGTCACACTGCTGCTGCATGTTCCCTTAGTAGAATTTATTGGCGAAAGTGTGTTTCGATATAAAGTACAGTTGCCGTAAGAATAAAAGTACTTTCGCTTTAAAATTAATTCACTTCAGAATCTAACTGGGTGGGCGTGCCTTACAAAAATCGATATTTGTTTTAGTATGGTGAACAGTTTTCTCTTCATCTACCTCTCTCTCTCTCTCTCCACCGGCTTCAGACCTGTCCGGGCAGTCACGCAAATACCCGTTTTCCTGAAATCATGTTAGGAATGTCGTTTTTATACACACAAGTTGTATTTCAGTTTGTGTGAGAGTCTAATCCACCTGCAGACCTTGGCGTTTCTGTATTGTAAACGTCTAGCTGATCGAAAAAAAATAATAAAACGAGGAATGGACCTACCATCGTAGGAAATGAAATTTAATTTAGATGTCTGGAATATTCTCATGCGGCGCCATAATAAATGTAGAGGTTTTGTCGAAAAGCGACAGAAAGGTAGAGAACGAATTGCGGCGGAATCGAACCGGGTACCGTAATACGAAATGAACTTGTATCGAGGGATTAGTTTCGTTGTTTTTTTTTATCTGTTTTGTATTCATATGGATTTGAAATTAATTACGTGAACGCTGTAATTTGCGATTTTACAAGCGGATAAGCCCACCACAAAAAACCCAAACATTGGAAACAGCTTAAATGGATGTAGAACTCGTGAGAAAAACGAAGGCCGACAGTGTGAGAAGCAGACATATCAGCCATCAACGAGGGATCGAAGAAATAGGAGAATGGGTGAACATAATGGGTCACTGAGTGGAACAACGAATAGCAACAGACAAATTGCCAAAGACGGAGGGATTTGAATTCTGGAGGATACAGCATGGCTGCCTAAAACAGAGGATGAGAACAAACAGAAGACCTGGAATTTTGTACGATAAAAGATCTTCAAAAAAATATATACAACTTTTCTTAATGCACCTTTAGTAAAGTACAAAACAGAAACATGGAAAATGTGGAATGGCGAACACCAAGTCCAATGGCAGGATGTGAATACGGCACCTCCAAGATTCGCTTATTTCATCGTATCACACTCACGCATACTCTCATATCCTTGCCATTGAACGAAGGTTGTTTCTTTCTAACGGGAGAGAGAATCCTCATGAATCATTAAGGTGGGGTCAGACGCTTACAGGCACGTGTCTACTGAAACCAAAATTACCAGGGCTGGAAAATATACGCGTTTAGTACATTTTACGAAAAATATCCCGCTTCATGCTACGCAATCTTGAAGCACTGAGAGGCTTTCAAATTCCACGCGACAAAAAGAAACACAAAGACACAATTAAGCCGCAAATCTTACAGAACACTTTGGCTCAGTGCAGAGCACATTTTTCTGCCCAAAACAACTTCCTTCCAGTAGAGCACAGGTGTACAAGGTCCATGGCCTTTCAGCACATATATGTTGGGGTTTGGGCCTCCTTCAAATGATAGTAATTTCAACATATCGGGCTATCTCATTCAGCCCATTCTTTTTTGCAAGGAAAAAATGTATACATAATTGCGCTCATTTTATGTTCATGACAGTTACAAACAATAGTTCAAACATGGGCGAAGAATTCAAAGGTTAGAATTGTCATAAACTTATTGCCACTTGTTTACAAAGGAATAAATTCCCCAATAACAAAGACAGAACTTGGTCTGCAGTGGTAAATCCCAGTATTAACCATTCTTGTACTGCATACCAGTGAGCAATTTCACCAACAGAATAAATTATCAACCTCAATGGGTTGAATCCAACAGTCTTACTTTACTTTCCGAAAATAATCCTTTTGAAATACCTACAGGACTATTAATCACTAAGAGGTATCTGATTAGGAGCAATCTTACAATAAATTGCCCATCTTTTATGGAACCAAAATGCCACTGGTCCCTTCCCTGAACCACAAGAATCTAACCCACACCCTCCAACATCATTTCTCTAAGTTCTCTTTCTATATTATCTCTTCTCTTCAGGCTTTCCAACCAAAGTATCTGAAGCATTTTTATGCACCCCCATGCGTGCTACATGTCCCACCCATGTCATCCTCATTGATTTCCTCACTCTAACATCTATCTTTCTAAACCGGTAATGAACCCAAATTTAGCGTAGCGTTACATAAAAATCAGGTTTCTTAGAAGAATACAAGAACACGTGGTAGAAAGGTATTTGTTTTAACTTTGATGTTCCATGATAAAACGTATCAATAAACAGTATACTTAGGCCAAAAAATAGTATAAGAACGTACGAACACAAGCAACTGGTTACAGTATTATAAAGTTATAATTTAATTTCGTTCATGCATTCAAATGCTACTACAAATTCACAATAGAAAAGTAGGCCTATTCTACCAAATTCATGGAAATGGATTTGAATGGAAAGAGTTGTATCCCACCTCCTGAAGTCACATGTCAGTTTCAGAACTTTACAAATATTACGTCTTAATACTTACTAAATCCTCCATTATTTCTTGGATCAAGGAGAAGGCTGAACAATATTCACCGGGAATTTAAAAACCTGCGGCATTTTTTTTCAGGTGACGACACATACCGAATTCCTACGAGGTGGCGGTCAACTACAAGTACCATTACATAAATGAACCCGGGAAAGGCAGTGCTTCGGCCGAGTGTAAGGACATATATCTAGGATAATTATAAAAATATATAAAATTCACTTACATTCACTGATGCTATCCAGTAACCGTAGTCATCCAAAGTAACGATTTTTCTGTTAATCTGCGGACACACACAACAGACACTTGTTCACTGACTCATCTTAATTCTCGTTCTAATGGTTGCTACACTATTTCGTGTTACAGTTCCACCAACTACGACTTCTCTATATTTGGGATACTCTACTTGCTTCTTATCGTATTTTAAACGTTTCTAACTTTCTTACTGAATACCCACATGAAAACATATTTCTTTGAAACCGCCTTCTCGCACCATCATACATGAAAACATCCTCAACATCTCGTAATGATCTAGCATCATCTGATTGGTTAGTTGAAACAGTACTTCCGCGATGTTGGTCACACTGCTTGAATACGTTAACGGTTGAGTTCTGTACACACGTTTAATTTTGATATTACTGACAACATAAAGAGCTTTATTGTAAAATTATATCAATAATTTAATCCAAGTTTATCATCTTGCAAATCACATAGTCTACAAATTTCTGTAAAAGTTATCACTACCTACTCCTGATCTGCCAGCACGGGTCATTAATATGCTGCCATCTGTGAACAAAACGAGAACTCGATGTGACCATGGTCGCACAATTTTCCGTCATAATACCCCGAGACTTTTGGAACGTTAAAGTTTATTATTATTATTATTTCACGCCCATACCCAAAGCTCCACAATTGCCACTTATTATTACATTTTCTCACAATTATTTCAATGAACCCAAAGTATTGTTAAATAAATAATTATCTGGATTGCTTACTGAATAAATATACAATGTGAATTTTTTTAATTTTAATTCTAAAAGGGTAAAAATTATGTCGAATGACTTCCAAACATACGAGTGTTTTATAAAAACGCAGTATTTAACTAATCATTTATATGCACTTTAGTGTTACGCATTTCACACATCAATATGCCCATTTTGCCAACTCCTTTTACAAAGTAACCACTTATTTAAAAGTCACACTTAATTTTGACAACCAACTGCTCTCATAAACTCAAATTCATAAGATAAATGAATTGGAGAACTTAATTTGAATAGATTCAATGTCACAAATTCTCCCTTCTTAAGGTAAAGACTTTCCTTTTATAAATTGTAGTGGGGCTTCATATAATGTTATTACTGCCTCTTTCACAGTTACAAAAATGCACTACATTCTATTTGACAATATTCTTACTGTCTGAAAAGATAAATTACAACCTAATAATTGAATCATGGAACTGGTTCTACAAATACAAATACTTTTTGGATTGTCAACTTGGTAATAAACTTCCGAGATCTGTGACAGGTAGGGTAATTTCTTGACCAGTGGAGTGATCATTATTAACTTTTCAAGTAGAACTCTGCTCCACAGACTTAAATATGAACACAAGATTTCATAATTTTCAACAATTGAAGTTCTAGAGACTGTGTTTGTGTTGACTTGAAGTCATCCAATGCCAGTGACAACTGATACTGACCTATGTATTGGCAAGAAAGAAAACAGACTTCTGAAAACAAGGCCTCAACAGATTGAGAGGCTGAGAAGCAATGGTCACACATTCCGTTACTCCTGTGCATGCTGAAAAAAATAAAACAATTAACACTCCACAGAAATTTATTAAAGTCGTTAAAAAACAATAACATTCATATTTAAAAAAAGTATGACAAGATTTATGTACACCTTCCAAATAAAACAATTTGTAAGCACTCTCTTTATATACATAGCAACATCTCTCTAAACAAGACTTACTATACAAACTAAAATATTTTAATTAACTCCAAGAGTTGGATGTGGTTTTCCAGGTTACAATGCTGTGCAGTCCTGTAGGTTGTTACCAACATTTCAGACCAACATATTGCCTCCATCTTCAATGAAGTAAAAATGTAAAGTAAAGCTGTCCCACGATATGCCATGAAGATGCTTGGGGGGAGACAAGGTATAACTCCTACTCATTCTTGACTTCAGCAGTATAAGGGAGTGAGTGGTCAGCGTCACGCCCCAGCTGCACTTTACCCTGGGAAAGGATCCTTGTACCTATTGGATAGGAGGTTGGGTGGGCCCCAGGACCGGTCTGGATGCAGACACTACGGGCCCTTGTCCACGAAAAGAATTCCTGCCGGAACGGTAATTCCGCCGACCGGTAAATAAAACCGGGTGGCCTTGTCCACGGAGACGGCAGGCGCGCAGAAAATATTTCACTCGAGTCGGGGTGAGTCTGTGCATGGGTGCGGTAGAATGGATAAGGATGTATGCACCATCATTGCACTATATTATTTTTACAAAAAGAAACAGCGACAACGTAGAAGGTATTGGGTGCATCCTGTGTTGCACGACATTTAAATTTGGTGCATTTAGTACTCTGTTTAAAAAACTACAACAGGACGACGCAAAGCACGTTAATTTTTTTAGAATGTCAAAAGAAAAATTTGACAAGTTACTGACAATTTTATGCATCCATTTGAAACATGAAGACACCAATATGCGGAACTGCAAAAAAAAGAAAGAATACTACAGACTATGAAACTTGCATGCTCTCTCAAGGCCAACTGATGACTGACGGCGAGCTCGCCTTGTCACTGTGAACACGGTGCACCATCCGGCTGCCATCTCTACAGTGGGAACCCGGTGCTCCATCCCTCAGCCGGACCGGTAGATTTGCCTTGATGGCTCGTGGACAAACTCTCATATGAAACAATGTATCACTACCAACCCGGTAAATCTATCGGAACAGCGGACGGCTAAAATTCTTGTCGTGGACAAGGGCCCTAAAGGAAAAATCCTCTGCCCCCGTTGGGGATCAAACCCTGGTCATCATCCAGTCCGTAGCCAGTCACTGTACTGACTGAGGGAAACATAATGTTCCTACATGACTGCATGGTGTTACAACCAAGAAGATCACAATCAACACCTTCACCACTATCAGTACCCCAAATCTCAAATTTTGGAAATGTAAAAAGATAAGAATCTCTATCTTCCAAATCTAGAATCATCATGTAAATATTACGCACTCATCATTCATTCAACAGCTCTCATGAGAAATATCAACTCTTAATTTAATGCTAACTAAATTTTTGCTACTGCTACTCACAGTTGACTAAATCTCTCATCAAAGCTGCAATATTTATGTACACACTGGAGCAGATATGACTTGAGAGTTTGTCACTTCACAGCAGCCATGCTAAAAGACCATCTGTTAACTTGCTTCACCATGTGTTATCAGAGAGAATTTAACAAAATTGTCTTTTAAAATATTATTACACTCTTTAAATGTCTTTGTTCATTTACATCAACTGTAGAGCTCATGATTTTCCCCCAAAACCCATGAGATTTCCTAGACCACCAGCACCTTGCTGCAACTGTCGCATCATACTTTGCAGTCCAGACATTCCACCTGTGAATAAGACGTTAATACAGATAATATACTGATACGTCATCTTCCTACTTTCCAAGATTCAGAACTGATTATACCATCTTTCATAAAAACCTTAATAACATTAATTAATTTAAGAGGCAAATTAAATATTTTTTTAACTAAGATTGGTCAGCAAATCCTATCACATAAAACCTATAAATAGAAGGACTGTAGACAAATTCTTTTCTTTTATCAATATATTACAGAGTAAAAAGTGAGTCTGCACAACTTCATCCCAAACAAAGCCCCATTTTTCCCTCCATTAAAATGCTTTGAGCATTAAAAGTAAGACAAATTCTTAAAATATTTTCATATACTTTAGACAAGCCATATGAAAATATTATCCCGCTACAGATCTCACATTGCAGTCCTTGATATAACCAGAAATCGTGTTGAATTACATAAAACAATATTAACTTTTGCACATTGCATGAAGTGACTAAAGGAGACTCTTGATTCCATTTAAAATAGGTAAAGTTTCCAGGCACCTTTATCTTAGCACTGGATACAGGTAAAAATCAGCTTCATGACCAAGCTGTTCTACCTCGAGGTGAAGAGCGCCCAGTACCAGCTGGGCAGAAGACTGTATAGCCTAAAACAAATATCACTACCCTTGTTGGGAATCAATCTCTCGTCATCTCGGTTACTTTACTGACTGAGCTGTCTCAGTTTTGCCTGCCTTCACTGTTGAATTGATTTTGATACTGATTACCCTACTTCCTCACCTGGCCAATTACACTGTGCTTAGCAACTGGCCTTAAAAGTAAGATATATTAGGCCTGCTAATACTTTAGGAACCTTCCGTTACAGACTACGCCAGTGGTCCCCAACCTTTTTGTGCCTATGGGCACATTTGACAGTTTATGAGATCATGGCAGGCACCAACCAATTAACAAAGACAAATTTTCTTTTCTCTGGACAAATAAGATATGGACACCAAATAATACGCAAAACAACACGACGTTTAGTGATGCAATCAAAAATACGTAGTATTATAAGTACAATTATTATTACTCAAGTGGGAAGTTAGTGTGATATTTGGCACTGCATTTCATCAGCCAGTTTTTCAAATTTGGGAGTGTAGGATGATGTTCCTGCTCGCAAACAATCGTCAAGATGGGCGTCAGTAAGTCGAGATCTGCGCTTCGATTTTATAATGTTCATGGTTGAACGGCCTTCATTATTCAGTGTAACCTCTTTCCGTAACAACGCGGGCACCCAAAAAAAGCCATGGCGACCGCGGGCACCGCGTTGGTGATCACTGGACTATGCAATGCTTTCTGAAGTAACGTGCATAGAAACGTAACATATACTTTGACATGATACCATTTGCAATACACAGACTATACAATGACAAATAACACACATACCCATTTGTTGTAGGATTCTTGGATCCATCATCTTAGCCATTTGCTGATTCAGTTTTGTCATCTGAGCCTGATTTACATTCTTTGCCATGTCTCCACCCTTGAATAGTCCCTTGATGCCGCCCATCTTCTTTACTACTGCGGCGAATTTTGTATATTGTGAAATCAGATCTTTCACTTCTTTCTCGGTGACGCCAGCACCCTGAGCGACTCGAATTACACGCCCAGACTGCTTTGTGAACAGTTTTGCTCCATCCCTACTATCCAGCTCTGTATTAAACATAGAGGGAAGTTGCTCAGCTTCCAACATTCACTGAAGGATACTATAAAACTATTGTCTTTACACATCTAACGAAAACTAGCACCCACTCACCTCCATCATTCATGCTGTCCATTATCGTCATAAGTCGTTTTAGTCTCGTCATTGATTCTTGTTCACTACCTTTTGATAGGAAATCCTGACTAAAACCTGGAATCATACCCTATTGAAATAAAATTGCAAAATTATACATAACACAGCTTAATAATATGACACATTCAACATATTCAGTCATGTCAATATTTTCATGTACTAAGGCTGAATCCATCATGGGTGCTACATCAAATGTTACTTCATCTAATAATATGCAACAGAAATCAGGCATACCACAACACTTCACTAGCCACTAACAGCTTGTACACTGAACACTTATACAACAGATGCCCACAAAACAAGGAAAATGCTTTTTTCCCCCATAAAATTAGGGGACAGTTTCCAGGCTTTGCAATTCTTCAACAGTTAGTGACAGTAACATGAATAAAATAAAATAAAGTAAAAGAAATCTGCTGTTAGTTTAATTCAATGTGAGCTACATCTCATTTTACGAGTATCCATCATTTTCACTTCTGATGCCAACTGCTTTACGTAAACTCACACATAACGTAGTAAAGCAAAGTCCTGAGATGGCTGACTTAATTATACTAAACGATTATTAAAAAGGACTATTTTATATAGAAATTGTTGATAAGACAAAAAATTTGAGAGTTTCACATCTGATATGTAGAGATCCAACTGCATTTAACTCAATCGCACGTAATCAAACTAGCCGGGTGTGAATGGAATAGATTTTTAATACTTATAAAATATAAATTACCATGATCTGGGAGAAAGGTCCCATCTTCATAATATTTTGGAACTGTTCATACATATCCCTCAGCGTGAACTGGCCATGTTTGATCTTCTCTATCAACTCCTCGTTGTCATCCAGCTTCAGTTCATTCACCTTGTCAATCAATCCCTCAATGTCCCCCATTCCAAGAAGCTTACTTACAAATGGCTTCGTCTTAAACGGCTCAAAATCATCGATATGCTCTCCTGTTCCAATGAAAATGATCGGGCTTTGTGTAGCTGCAACACTGACACCGATACCAACACACCTTATTAATAAGTTTAATTCTTAAAATCATATTTAGTATGTAACTACGAACCAAAGCAAACATGAATATAAAAATATATTTTAACTGGATAACGAGATGGAGATTATAAAATCTGGTAAGACTACAGATAATAAAACATAGACACAAATCTCTAATTAATAATTTTTTCAATTTTTTTGATTAGTTGACATATAATACACTTAAGTATGGTGTATTACAATGTTTCAAGGCTTCTTCCAACCCTAGGCAAGCATAAAATCTATTTTTAAAACAGGAGCACCCATATAGCCGATTCCATTATCACCTATGACAGGGTGATTATGAAGATGGTTAAATTTGGGTTCCGAACCATAAGATGGGTGAAGTATATTCCACATTTCCAAGTTTATCATTGGCAAAGGCAAGGGCTTCAGTCTGTGAGCAGAAAAATCCATACAGAGATCCTAGTAGAAACTGAAACAAAATACTCTGAATGAGGGACCAGTGTCTTAACCAAAAACACCAGGTTCCTGCATTTTTCTATGCTAAAACTTAAAAATATTATAATGGTGCAAATCTTACTGAGGACACTTCCAATAATTAAAAGTTTCTTCATTAGCAGACAGAATGCACATAAGTGCATTACTAAGGTACAATACTTACGCACTAAGTGCTCCTCCACCCTTTGCGTGCCCATCCAATTTTGTTACAATGACAGAACCTACATCAACTTTCTCCTTGAAAGCTCTAGCCTGGGCTTCACAAGCTTGACCAATTGTTGCATCCATCACAAAAATAATATTATCTGGTCTCTGAAACAGAATTATACAGATGTTGAGAAGAGAGACGTTTGATTGTACAGCAGAGGTTTCCAACCAGGGGTCTGACATGCACATTTCTTGTTGGCACAAACCAAATAAAACACATGGGGAAATTACAATTAGACCAGTCTGAAATTTCTAGTTAGTATTAAAAATTAATACTTTACAATATCAGACTCTTCCATTCTTCATTTCCTATCAGAGACCACGCAGTCAGAATTTAACGTTATTATTTTTTATTTCTCCCTTTCATCACATTTAACCACGAGCAGATTACTCTCCTCCTCAGTCTTTTGTTCAGATTTTTCGGTATCATTTTGGCACAGATTTTCATGCTCAGTCATTTTGATCAAAAAATCACATTTCCACTACTCATGTTCAAGTTCATCACCATTTCAGCAACTTTTCCAAATCTGCTTACATTCCTGAAGTTTGACAGATGGATTTTCTTACTATTTATATGATATCACTTCCATGTTGAAATTGCCAACCTGACATAAATCCTGTTTTCTACTCACTGTTTCCTTTCCATAAACTTGCCGAGACATCTTGTAAATGTTCCTTAAAATTTTAATTTTCTGTTCTGACAATTTATCTATCACCAATGTACCATGAAACAGTATAATGTGCCAATAAAACATTTGCTGCATTCACAAAACACACTGAATCACGCCGAATGTTTAACATAAAATTGCTAAATCATTCAGTCACATGGTCTGACATAAACCAATTCATCAGGGTTGCTAATTGCCTCACATAAACACCAAACTTGTCTTAGTATACAACTGTTGGACCCTGTAAGTAAAAGAACACATTATTACTGTACTTACTATGGCGTTAGAAACTTGTAACATTTCTTCGAAAAGTGACTCTTCCTGTTTATGTCTCCCACTTGTGTCAACAATGATAATTTCAAATCCCTCCTTCTTGAACATCTCAACACCATCCTGTGCAATGACCACAGGATCCACTTCGGTGTAGCTGAAAACCACAAAAATCAATATCAAAATAAATCTTAAAACGTCATGACAGCTTCAGCGGAATCTTAAATGATCGCATGCTCCCCAATACAAAACACACGCATCTTGGTTGAGATATCTGATAGGAGACCACTTAGACAATTAGTTGTAGACTGAAGTAGAATGTGGACTGAATTCAGTGATATCAAGGACCCTTGGTGGGCTCTTGAAAATATTGTAATGAACTCACAGTGATGACAGACACAAGTTCCTTTCGTCACAGGAAGGAGAATGCTATGATGCTGGTTTCTGTAAGATTGTCTCATTGTAATCAACTGACAAAATGAGTCATTCCATTTGCAGTTCAGCATTATTTTTACTACTGGTCTGGAATGCTTCAACAGATCTTGCTGCAACATTTTCTTATGTTTCCAAAAACAAATCATTAAATACAAATGCATGAAATACATTCATGACTCAGCTTTTAGACAAATTAAATATGAACAAACTGATTCAGTCTATACTCAGCATGCTCAATAATTCAGGTACATACAGCAAAACTACATAAAAAAAATAAGAATGTGAACTTACCTTCCATAGAAGGGAATTCTGGCCTTGGTAGCATTTTGTTTCAGCTGATCATAAGCACCTGCTCGAAATGTGTCTGCACAAACAAGGCAAGCTTTCCAGTTCTTCTTGAGGTAATGGTATGCCAACTTAGTACATGTGGTTGTTTTACCAGAACCTTGAAGACCCACAAACATGATGATATTCGGCTTTCCCTTCACTGGCTGGTGAGCTTTTACACCCGGATCCACAAGCTGAAAACCACTTTCTAATTTAAATTATTGTTTAAACAGCTGTTCTAAATGCAAATTCTATAAACATAGATAAAATCAGGTCAATGTTCTGAGACCAATAGCTAATCAAGATCAGAGACAGTTTTAAGAACATAAATCAGGGATATTTTTACCATAAGTATTACAACAAATACTGATGGTCACTTTAATTGTCAGTCAGCAGATATATATATATAACCTCTGAGGACATGGTGATCTCAAGAGTGTCCTGGGATAAGTTTCTGTTCAAATTTTGATGCAAAGTTTGCTTTATACAGACATAGCCTTCAGAGAACTTCCACTATGAAAATGAAGAGAACTCCAGGAAAACACCATAATGAGTCCATCACTTTCAGCCAACTTACCACTGCAAGAGTGAAATTCACCCAACAATGGATTCACATGATTAGCCCAAGAATGCTGATAAAATCATAACTGTAAACATTTACTATAACAGAGCACAACTACATTACCTTACCTTAACTAACTCCTTAAAGACCGCACTCTGAATCATTCTGCGTTTATTCAATCCCCCTGCCATTTCATCAAAATCAATGACAGCACGAACATTTTCTCGCAGATCTTTGACTAGCCGTATGTTAACATCAGCTTCCAAAAGAGCAGTACATATTTCCTTTAGCATAGCATTTAGAACCTGTTTGTAAAAGAACCATACAAATCAAAATGCAGTAGCATAACAAAAATAAACGGGGAAAAACATGGTGCCAAAACACAATTATAAAAGAGAAAATACACAAATAATAAAAGTGCAGAAAACCAAATTACAAGAGATATTGTGATAAAAGGAACAATATGGAAGTCAGCATAGAATTAACATTTGTGATAACCCACAATTCCATTCAATGTGTATGCCAACACACAAGTAACACACTTCTGAAAAATCTCTAATTATCCAATCAGTACCAAAACAATTTGACACTTCACGCATCATTAGCCAGTGAGGCACACCATATCAGATCTGATTTTAGTTCTTTCAGCATCTGACTGACTAAATAACTGATTTTAATATTATCTGACGTGATGTGGTAGCAATCAAGCAATCATGCACCATTCTGTTTGGATGACTTTACCTAAAGTTAACATACTAAGTCATAAATGTTAATATTTGCTTATAGACATGTTTTTTCTCTCTGTTGCAGGTGAAGGTCACAGTGTAGCAAAAACCAAAACACAAAGACAAGCAGGCTAAATAGAAACCGTCTTGAATTTTGTATGAACAATGCTTAGCAGTTATCCAAACCACAGCCAACCTAGCAACTGCCAAATTTATTAAAAAGTGGTTTTTAAGACCATTACTTGTTTCCAGTTGGAAAACTGGTGGCCAGGTTGTACATCTTATATGCTACAGTACAAGCTACTAACAGATATATTAAATATGATTCATTTCATGGAATTACTACAAGACAAAAAATAAATCGAACTTCCTTTTGCTTCATTCAGATTCCTCCCAAAAGTGTGCAATGGCATTTTTGGAAACCTTGTAACTGGATGTACAATATAAAATACCAGTCTTGTAATACATACTAACAAATTTTGTCATCAATTGATACACAATTCCAAGGACATTTATATCATGTACTTTTCGTGTAGTTTCATATACGCAGTAAGTATAATAATGAAAGTTTCTTGAGTACTGTATCATGAATAAAAATTAAGCCATGTTTTAACTACTTTCCATATTTCATTACTTACATCTTCGTTGATTACCGTTGCATTGCTCAGAGACCGCAGCGCGGACGTAATTTTACGTCCTAAATCTGCTAACACCATTGTGACTTGAGTTATATACTACTTAACCTGTCAACAAAATATAAAATGTGTACACTTCCTATACAATATGTCACTGTCCGCTGCTTCACTCGCTTAGCTCGGCTCATTTCGCCAACAACATACACCACTACTTCCGTTTACTACTTGATTATTTTTAAGTTTCATCACAAATATTTCGAATTTGACTATATTTTTAAAATTGTAAATTTCTTACATTTTAATTATAATACAGATCAAAACTAAAAATAAAGCAAAGTTTACAAGTATTGTATCGCTTGTTTAAGTCCACGTTGTTACCTGTGGGAGCCATTTATAGTCAAATACACTTATCTATTGCAACGTCTATTTCCTGATTTGTTTATTGAACACACATTTCTGATTAAAAGCATTTTAGTTATGTAGATGTTAAAGTTATAAACAATTCTCCCCCATTTAATTTAATTATCTAATTTGAAAACATAAGACATCTTTAGAATTCTGTTATTACACTTTCGATTATCACCGATAATACCAATGACTTTTGGTGTAATTCAATTTATGCCGTTTACGTTGTCTGAAATTGAAATTTTTACACAATAATGCAGTGGTTACATTTTACATTTGTAAAGTGCACTCAATTAAAAAAGTGCGTCGCAGACAAAATCAATAACCACAGCATCCATTTGCTCAAGCCCTGTAAAACTGGGAAGTGATGGCTGGAAAGAAGCTAGGGCACAAAATTAGGTGTTGTGATTACAAAATTTTTGCACGAAGTAAATTTATGTTTATGAACACTGAAAACTACTTCCCAATGTAAAGTGGGTGGTGGAAGCATAAACAAGAATATTTTACACAAAAATTCAGTGAACACACCAAGAAATGCCAACTGCTCACATCGATGTGACGGATGATAATGGTAAGATCAGTTAAAATTTACATTGCCTCAGTGCTCTAATTTAAAATACTGAGTTATGGACGAAAATAAACTATTTTCATTACAATTAAGATGTAGTCGCCTTATTCATAAGAACTAGACAATGAATAGTTTTTAAGGTGGAATTACGGTATTTTTTACGGCGCGCGAGATTTGTACGTACTGCTGTGTAATATTTTCTTGGTCTTTCTCCGTCTTACTAGGCGAATGCCAGGACAGTACCTTGAAATGAAACGTGATCTCTTCCTTCCTACACTATGTCGTCAGATTGTGCTTATCATTGTCTTGTTCTCACTTGTTGCCAAGCTATTGTTGTGTTGGTATACCAACACAACAATGCCGAGTAAACAAAACATTGTTTGATGACGTCTACAAATTGTTTGACGACGACGGAGAATCAAAATTTTTTATAGTACGGAAAATATACAAATAAATTAAATACTATAAATGACATGTGTCATTTATAAAATAAACAAACTGTTATTTTATATTCTAATATACTACATGGTGTGCAAAATTTTAAGAGTATTTTATGTTATTGATGTGGAGTCTTGCTTGGGTGTGCCACAGAATGTTTGGCAAAGGACCTCTTGGAAGACCTAGAATATGAGAGGATGACATTAAAATGGATCTTAGAGAAGAAGATTGTGAAGGTGGTGTTGAATACTGGGTTTACAGCTAGATAATTAGGTATCTTGTATAACAAATTGTTGTTTCAGGTCATCCATTTTTACTTTAAGTACTAGTGAATAACTCTTTCTGCATTTTCAGAAACTTCTGATGTATTGACAGAATCTGTAGAGCAACTGCGAGCGCGGTTGGATGCTATGAAGAAACTAATTGACAACCCAGATAAGACAGCAAATAGAAGAAATCAAGCAGGAAACACAATTATAGATGGGAGTTTCCTCAACATTGTTTTCACAGTTGTTCTTCTCATGATCATTGGTGTTAGCTTTTATGCTTTCTTAAATCTTTATTATGCCATCATAAAGAAATTCCACCCTAAAGAACATACTGAGTTGTAGATAGAGATAATGATATATATCTATGTGAGATTTGTATGAAACATGTAAATGTCAAGAATAACATACAGTCTAATTCAAATTTAACAGGCAGCTGCCTGAAGAATGTCTTTAAATTAAATAATGTTGCTTCCTGCTTGTAAACACAAATTCATTATCACAATGAAGATCTGTACTAATTAAAAGTTTCATTTATTCTGTTTTTTCTTTTTTAATATTTTCCTTTTGTTCCACAATCAAACCACTTAAATTTCTAGTTTGAGACATGCTATGGAACAGTACAGTTGTAACTTAACGTGTGAAAAAAAATAAACATGCGTTTGGTAAAACAATACTATTATTTATCATACATAAATACAAGTTTGAGATATAGTTGCATTAAGAAATGGGGGTATGAATTTACAGGTAGAAGGCAGAACACAATATAAGTCAACTTTGAGGACTTTATCTATCCACAAGCAAATACAACAATCATATCAGGATTGGACATATGACAAATGCCAAGGATCTCTGACTTTGTGAATTCATATATTTAATTATTTAAATCATTTTCAGCACTGAACTTTTATAACAACTACATCTTGTATGTTATGCTAGTAAGTTCATAAGTGACAAGGTACTGCAGCTCTCATGTGATGAAGTAACATTTAGGTCTGTCTTAAGTTTTTTGACAAAGGTCTGTTGTTGAAATGTTTGAGTTTCTTACAAAATGTAAGATGTACTAATTATGTCTTTTTTGGGTGATCAAAATTTTCAATTTATATTTATATTTAGATTGAAAAATCATCACGTATTAGAAAATTCCTCCGCTTTGCTCATATTCCTTTTCATTGCCTATACCAGTAACAGAAAGCAACACCTACTGACATATCATAATGATGTCCACATTTTTGAAAGCTACTAGATTTGATAAACTTTCAACTGTCTCCATTTCAGTAAAAAGTAAAATACATCCTCTCATGTATTTGTTTTCAAATTCTGCCGTGTACAATTACAACAGCAGATGTGTCAGACTGAAAGACAGTGCCAATGCATGAGGTATTTTCCATTTTCTGTTAATTTTAGTGTGACTGTCACAGTGCTGATACATATTTAGCAAATATTCATGTTTATCTTGGTTTAGATACTGGCTATCCTGATCAGGTTTTCTATAGTTTTCCTCAGCCCCTTCAGGCAAATGCCAGAGGCTTCTATTAGGTTCCTCCCATATCCTAATTCATTAATCATCCTATCATTTGATACTATACAGTCTTGCAATATTAAAACCCAATAATTTGCACTTGGTCTCAATAATTTACTGAATATATTTTTTTTATTTTATGTTTTCACATTATTCCAGTCAGGAGATCTGACATGGCTACATCTCCTATGGCTTTAAGCTGATATGGTGGATCCAACTCCTATTTCATTCTTATTTTCTAGTTGTCTACATGGGACCTGGTCACTGACAGAAACTATAACTGATCAGGAAAGTGCCCTTAGTGGTTTTAATTTTTATGAAAGTAGAAGACCTTGTCACTTCAATCAGTGAATGACACAAGTCTCTCACTTTCTTTATGAATGTTTTCCTGCTAAACTAATGAGAATGTACATTATGCATGTGGGTGTATGTGATAATTTTATGACAAAAGACACCCCATCACTTTATCATCAGTAGCTGATGCAAATATACAATTCTGTTAGAATCATGTTTCAATAGTTGCATATTGGGGTATGCAGTGACAAGTTCAGAAGATGGAATGAGATAGAACTCATCCTTCATATAAATACATCCAAGATGATACATATTGACATTTGAAAAATAGCTTAACAGTTGCACCTAAGTATTTTCTCACTCAGCAAACACATCTGTATATCTTCATTTAACTAAGCATTTGGCACAAATGGCTAACCCAAAATGTAATTACATATGTTATTTGCATGGTAATGTCCTTATTTTATGAAACACCAAGAAAGTAACGTTATAAATTATTCTCTATTTTTAATATATGCATTAGAAACTGACTGTAGACAACATACATTATTTATGAACAGGCTTAGAAATTAACTTGTACTGTGTGCTGATCATGGAACAACAGACTTACAATTGTAAATATCACATTTATTAACTTTACAATAAATATTTGTTTATATATCGGATATTAAAACCGAAATTCTGCCACTCCGACGTCGATGGATTGTTTTGGTTAATAATGCGAGAGTTTATGTTCCTTCGAACAAGCAACTATTTTTTGTGACAGCGAACAATGCCTATTCGTATTCTCTATAAAATGTTATTAAACGTTCTCTCATCTTCCGTAAGTAGTATTTGGAATCATCGGTGTGGATTTCGACGGCATACATCAAATACTGATCAGATATTTTGTATTCGTAAGAAAACAGAACAATTTTTAGTACAAAGGGACAACACCTCTGCTCTTTACGGAATTCAAGAAAGTCTAAGAATCAATTATGCAGTGCTCTCATTGAGTTCAACATACCTATTAAAATAGTTTGGCGAATCAAAATGTGACATAATGAATTTTCTTTAAAAAAAAAAAAATTAACGATCACCATCATTCCGATCCACTTTGCCTCAGATATGAATATACAATTCCAAATATGTTTATTATAACATGGATCTGTTTACAGCATGTGGCGCCATCCACTAGCAACAGAAATTTTCCCAGTGGGGAATAAAATAGGGAAATTTGTTTTGATCAGCATGATGCATTGCGCATATGTGCTATCGCAGTAGTCATATGAATTTTGATTATTTTAGAAAACTGTAAAAGTAAAATAAAATACAACAATGAACCATACTAATCTTAAGGATATTGATTTATATGAATTGATTGGGATACTATCAACAGCTACTACACAAGAGGTTAGTGAAAAACGTATTACAGAACAGGACAATTCTAACCTAGTAACAATATCCAGATCTATAAATGTAACTTTAGTTTTTAGATGACAGCTTTCCTCCTGATGGTGGGATTTTCTGGGAAGAAACTATTATCCTGTACAGCCATTCCTGGTTTGAGTTAGTACACTCTTGCATAGTAGACCTCATTGCAAAGCCTGTTTTATGACCTTTGTATGATATGACATATATGTCTTCAAATATGATTAATTTGTGAGTTCAATAACTGAAACCATTTTAAGGGTTTTACTTATTATTAACAGCTCTGTTTTAGAAATACATTTCACCCATTGAAATATATTTTTTCATATGTTAAATGATCTATGACTGATTCATTGAATGTCCTCTTTTAATTCTAGGTGAAGAAAGCTTATCGTAAAAAAGCTCTGTCATGCCACCCAGACAAGAATCCAGACAATCCAAAGGCTGCAGAACTTTTTCATCAGCTGTCCAAAGCATTAGAGATCCTGACAGATGAATCAGCACGTGTAAGTTCTCTTGACTGAAACAAATACCTTTCTTATTGTACAATTATAGCCTAAACATTTTTTGCTTGTGTTGCATCATAATATAATTTCAGCACATATAGAACCAACACAAATATTATGTATTCATAGCTTAAAAGAATTCAGTCTTCAATTATATGTAAAGAACTGACAAACCATTTTTAGAGGAACTTAGGTTCCTTCGCAATTATGATATTATCATCATCATTTTTACTGGAGCATCTTTAAAATATGATGATGCATTAGCTATCTTGATCAGGGTTAGTAACCCTAAATAAAACCCAAATTAACAGATAGGTGTATCATACATACAATTGACATTTTTATTTATTCTTTATTGTATGATTGTTCTGGGTTTTCTCATTTTACCAGGCTGCATATGATAGAGTTTTAAATGCAAAGAAAGCTGCGAAGTTGCGGCATCGTGAACTAGATTCTAAGCGGCAGAAGTTGAAGGAACAATTAGAAGCAAGGGAGCGACAAGCTGAGGAATTTTCAAAACAGAACCGCAGTTTCACCAGCAAAACAGATGAAGAAAAGCTTCAGGTAACAGATGAATTCTCACCTGCTCCAGCTTCCTGACAGGCAAAATGGAAATACATATTGTGTAAGTGAAGGATTATACTAAAGAATCCTAAAACCAGAAGTTGATTCAGATGTGTTTAAAATAGCACTGTAAAGTGATTAAACAGTGTGACCATAATAGTCTGGGCATGAGTAAGGTGCATCTTATAACCCTAGTATATTTGAATAATTATGTAAAACATACAACTTGATTACACTTACAACTGTTATGTACACCACCTTATATAATCTTGTTGCAGGATGAGATTGAGAGGTTAAGAAAGGAGGGTTCAAAGCAAGTCAAAGAGGAGCAAGAGTATGTTCGACAGCAGATCATACAAGAGAAGTTCAGCAAACCCACAATGAAGGAAGATAGCAGCAGTCATCATAGGTTGAAAGTACGTTGGGTAGCAGCAAAAGCCGACCCAGACAATGGAGGGTACACGAGTGAATTGTTGCATGATATATTTTCAAAGGTATGAATATTGTAGTTTTCACTTTTCTTACTGTTGAATATTTTATCATTACATGTGGAGTGAATTTTGACCATTTTGTATTGTCTTATTTTAATATTGAACCAAACAATTTTCTTCAGTTCCAGTGTCAGTGCTGTGTCCTGAGGTTTGCTTTCCAAAGAGACTTTTCATGCATATTAACACTGCCTATAAATAAATATTCAGATAATCTCATAATACAATTGTCATTCCTTGCCCTTGTTTGAATGACTAAAATTTTAGTGGAAGATTGACACTAGCTGTTCAGTATAACTGTTGCTATAAAACTGTGAGTTAAGCACATAATTTTGATCACGGTGGTCTAGCGGTTAGAACGCTGGCCTTGTAATCCTGGGGTCTCGGGTTCAATTCCCGGCGGTACCCGAATTTATAACTTGTGTTGGGCAAGGCCGTGGTCTAGGCAACACGGAGTTTTCCTCCGGGGGCTTCCCCGGTTTCTCCGTGGCATCCCAACAATTACTCCATGCACACACAGAAGAAGGCAATGGCAAACCACTTCTGGATCATCTGCCAAGAACGTATATGAACAGGTCCCAGTCTGAGAAAAGGATGAAAGGATCCTGTTCATATGGACCTGACCTAACAGAACAGTAATAAAAAAAACATCGGTATATAAACCATTGTGACTCTAACATAACAATAGTAAAACTAAAAAACAATCCTTTAGTACACATTCTGTAATTTTAAATATGTTCTTTCTGTCGTAGTATGGTGAAATTGTTGCCTTGATTATATCTGCCAAAAGGAATGGGAGCGCCCTTGTAGAATTTAAAACGAAAGAAGCAGCTGTGAGTATAGCAAATGACCTGACATGACGTGTAACTGCTAACTTAGTATTTGCCTAATCATCTTATGAGAAATTATATGCCATTCATCAGTTAATATTTTCCTGTTCTGTTGACTGGCATATGGAAGGAAATGATTCAGAACTAAGCAGTAGTCTGACGTTAACATCACTGCTCTCATTAATGTAATTCTCAATAGAATGTTGGTTGTACACAAAGGAAGACATAATTGCTGGAACTGTTCCACATTTATAGGTATTTCCCGTTGAGGGACATGTTCACAAATTCCTAACAATGGAACCTATCCCAAGCAAGTTTGCATCATTCCTTTAATAAGTAAAATAATTCTTGCCTCCATGGTCCAGCTTTAAACATAGGTAAAGAATGGGTACTTATTTATTTATAATTTATTTGAAAACACTTTTTCATTAGCTCAAGACTATATAGTGTGTAATGAGAGGATGATAATGAATAGTGAACTGGAAAGGATTTGGAAGGAAGTGGTCATGGCCTAATTTAAGATACTATTGTAGCATTTGCCTGAAATGACTGAGGAAAACCACAAAAACTTTAGTCAGGATAGCCGGTCACCGGGCTGAGATTTTAACCTGGGACCTCCCAAATACAAAGGTACTTGTTATAAAAGTCAAAATAATACTGGTTTCATGTGAATATGACAGTCTCTTGATGTTTCCATCTCTGAACCTTCCAGATTTTCTCATTCACCACCTACAATATATAATAATTCAGTAGGTAGGAAATATTGTGAACTCTAAGATAGATCATTATGAGAACACTTATCAACAATTGTTGGGTTACAGTCAGAAACTTGGGTAATATAAAGTAGGATTAATAATCAAATTATCTGCATGGGCATGCTTCAATGTTTGTACATTTTAGGTGATGGCAATGGAATTGGAACAAGGATTAACTAAAACCCCTTTGAGAGTGGAATACCTTGGAAGTGGACAGACTAAACCACCTAGTGCCAAGAAGGGACTATCACTGGCAGATCTGAGCAGTGAGAAGGCTGGAAGTCACAGTAGTACCTTCCCATCCATGGATGATGGAACAGAGAATAAATTCTCATCTAATTTCCCAAGCTTTTCTTTCTCTTCTAACATTTCAGTATGTAACAGAATTTCTTTTGTGTTTGCCAAGAATTATTAAACTCATCTGGAACTAGCGATACATAATATAGAACATTTAGAGATTATATGTTGATGCAGTTAATGTTACTTCAGTCATAGACAGCAAGGAATTGGCAAATTCTCCTCAAAATGTTTCCAAGTGCTTTGGCACAATCTGATGAAACTTGATGTACTGAACGTCTTTTATACGGAAATCATAAGTTTAATTTATTTTAAATGAATTTTAAAAAGTTCCACTTGACATACGGATCCAAATGAACTGTAATATATCTTTAGAGACCTCCGACTGATTTTTTAAACTACAGCTCCTGCAACCTTTTTAAATGGAGCTCTTTCCAAAATACAAAACAAATGCATGTAAATAAAACTTATACATCTCTCTTTAATATGAATTTAAAACAGTTTATGGGTAAAATATATTGCTCAAAACCATGGCTATTTAAATATCTCCTACATGAGCACAAACAAACACAAAAACATCAAACTGGCATTTATATAATGCAGATTTGTTTAAATAAGTTGTTCTAGTACTAAGTTTACTTTTATGAATTACTTGAAATCATCATATGTTTTCACTTACTTAAAATCTGGAAGGAATAATTCTTCAGGACATACCCAGTTCACCACATCATTTTTGGCCAAGAGAAGATGATTTTCTGTTGTAAAATATATAAGCATTGCATTAAATTGGTATGTTGTTTTCGCAGTTCTGATAGTTTTCAAACATGATGAGGATGAATCCCAGAAGATGCTTTTACAGCATAAATGCAAAATATGCAAATATAAACTCTAAATCAGCATAAAAATTATTAAAACTTTACAGTGGTTTCGTTGTCCTGAATGCTCAGTAAATATGAAAGTTATTTATATTCTCTTCCTTTCTTCATAAATATACACACTTTAAAATTACAATTGACTTATGGAGATTATTACAGTGATATCATATTTTTGATAGACATTTTCAAAGTGGTGTTCAGGTCTAAGAGAACCACATAAGTTGTCTTTTGTATCACTGTAAAAACTTCATTTTCCATCTATGTTTGTTGTGATTTTGGAATTTTTTATTACAGAATGAATCTACACAGTCAGTGGATTTGGACTTCGAGAGCCTGGTTTTACGAAGGCTGAGACAAGCTCAGGAAAGAAAGAAACTGATAGAAAAAATTGAGGAAGAGGATGATAATAATACATAGCTTTACATTTGAAATAGTAGATCATCTTTGTAATTTAAAAAAAATAAATTTTTATGTCTGTGTAATATTAAATTTAACACTTCAGCCCACATACACAATAGTACATAGCTACATGGCTTAAATTAACAGAATGTAGTGTATAAACTGCAAGCTGTGTTGGATTATAAAGCATTCCTTCAGTGTGAAAAGTGGTGTGTATGATTACTGAGGTATGAAAAGAATAAACTGTGTTGCATATTTTTTTTATTTTTAATGAGTTACTGTTCGTGACTGTAATCTTGAGACTTGCGGGGTGAAGGAGGAAAGATAGCGTCTGCCTTCAACGCTTCGGACTTCCTGCATTCCTTGCAAGTCTCAAGATTACAGTTGTGAACAGTAACGTGTTGCCAGGGTAGCTCAGTCAGTATAGTGACTGGCTATGGACTGGATGACCAGGGTTTCATCCCCGACAAGGCCAAAGGATTTTTCCTCTAGCCTCCAGATCGGCTCTTGGACTCAACCAGCCTCCTATTCAATGGGTACCAGGGTCCTTTCTTGGCAAAGTGTGGCCAGGGTATGATGCTAACTCACTCCCACCTAATGCTGATGTTAAGAATGAGTAGGAGCTATACCTCCTCTGACCACAAGTGACTACATGGCGTATAGTGGGACAGTTTTTTACTTTTTAACTTGTTTATAAAATCTTATGATTTGAATGTTGAATATTACTTAAAATATGTATAATGTAAAATATAAATACAGAAGGAAATATACAGTGGAATCTCCAATTAAGTATTGTATTTTCCTTAATTTAACATTAAATGTCTCTACCTTCAATACCAACCTCAGTTCAAACTACTCCTCCATTTAAGATTTTCATCAGCATAAGTGTTCAGATCCATTACCCCTCCAGAGATCCCTTATTTTGCAAGAATTTCACTATGTTGTAACATAATAAGATTCTTCTTTCGCAGTGATATTGTATGAGTTCAGAGTACTTTCAAAGGCATAATGTTCAAACCACATTTGATGAAAGCCATTCTCTATTTGAAACTTTGCAGATTATTTATTAAACAGTATAGTTAATATAGTTTTTAAGAAAACAAAATTCAATTTAAATCCAGTACTGTATCATCTGCCCATAAACTTTATTATAGGAATGTTAACTTATCTGTAATTTATACATACATATATATATATATGCCTTTTATTTTATTCAGTACCACACAGTTGTATTCTTCAGTATTATACTGAGGCAGCAGGTGCATACTGCTTTACCAACCGATCAAACTCTAATTCCTTCTGAAGATAATCCTTTATGAATGGGTGATCATGATGCGAGTCCTTCAGTTGACTTAAGTATCTGTTTGCAACCTGAAATAACACAAATTTCTAGTGATACTGAAATAAATACAGATACCAGTTAATAAATTCATCATACTCACACAACAATAATACCACTATTATTTCATTAAAAAATGGTGTCACCTCATACATTTTTCCCCACACTGTGCAGTATCCTATGTTTCAAAAACCCATCTGTGCCAAAATACACAGTTTAGTCACACGGGTGGCCGTAATGGCAACAATGATTAGAAAGAGTATCTTGAGAGTCATAACATAGATTTTGAACAGAAATATGTCTGCACATGTGACTCATTCAGTACGCAGCACAATAAAAATTAATGTTTATCTCCAAGAATATTTAATTAAGGCACTGTAATTTTTTGAACCTCTTAGTTACTACATGGTCATTTTATTTATCAATCAAAATTATCACCATCTTTACAAATGTGTTCACTGTATTTGGCTTATCAGCAAACAGTTTCAAACTCCCAGTTTAAAATTGTGGTAATTAAGCTTTTGGACTACCCTTTAAAACCAACTGGTCTTTGTATTGTAGCGTTACATCTTATTTGACATATGGGCCAAATTTTTAAATATTAATTAGATGAGCATTAGCTTCAAAATGTTAAAAAGGCATTTTTCCAATGTCCAGCTCTAAGCCCAGGAGTAAAGGGTTTGTAAATGTCTAATTATCATTTCACCTTAATAAACAAGGTAATACATCAATTGTACCTCTGGTGGTTTTCCTGTATGCTGAGAGAGTACTATCATATTGATAAGTGTGTCTGGATTGTTACTGTCTTTATCCAGAGATTCTTGAAGGGAAGACTCCGCTTCTTCATATTTTGCCTGCCCAAGAAAACATGTTGCCTGCCCATTCAGCAGCAAGGATGTACTACTATGCTTGTCATTCATCTCTTGAAATATATAATAGCCATCTTGCAATCTTTCTCCACCCTATAACAAGGCCAACTTTACATAAATGTGTTAGGGAGATGAACTTAAGAAAAGCCTGATTTTGAAATTCACCAATCAAAATACAGTATTATTCACTTCCTGAGAGCCCAGTACTTTTATCATTTCTAGGTCTGCAGCCACATTGATCTGAGGACGGAGACTGCCATTTCTGTTAACTGTTGGCAAACCTGATGAGCAAAACACCCATTGTCACTTTTATGACTCAGAGTTCCTTAAATATAAAAAATCCTTTTTGTTACAACAAAATATTGAAATATAGCCAGCTTAATAAATGGAAGTGCAAAAAGAAATAATAAGAGAAATTAATTCCATCTACTTCAATATTTTATTCTGTATGCTGTACTTTCACATGCTTTACAATGCTAACATCAATACAGCTGTACTTGGTAAGGCAAAGCTGCTTGAACTGCTCAACTAAGCACCATGCCATGCATATTTACTGGCAAGTGGAGGTATAGCCCCATTCCTGCATTCTTAACCTTGGCACTAGATGGAAATGGAGTGAATTTAATCATCTCTGTAAATAGTAACAAATAAAGTATACTCTACCATTGCAATGTTAACCCAAGCCTGGGCAAGCTGTGTTAATGTTGCATCATCATCCTTTTCTTGCATTGATTTTAGTTCCTTCCATGCCAAATCTACCCGATCCATTTTCAAGTAGATTTGTAGTGACAAAGCAGAACTATAAGTGAATACAAAAATCAATCACAAAGCATACAAAATAAACAATATCAACCAACTTGATAGACATATAACATATTTAATAAAGAACTTACCATTCAAGATGATCAGCTTCATTCAAAATCCTCAAAGCCGAATCATAATTCCGTTCAAGATAATAGATTGAAGCAGCAACAATTATAAGTGTGTGATTGCTGACATCAACATTACCAGAGACTTGATGGTCCAAGTTTGAGACAATACCTTCTCTAGGCAATGAACAGAAACAGGACACATTTAGTAAAAATCTCCAGAGCTGGATACAAATGTAAACATATCTTACAGGGGAAAAAAACCTGATGACATAACCATCAAACACAACTTTTAAAACCTGTATTTAAATTAACCCTACATGTTTTGTCAAACTCATGCAGATCATGCTATTGTTATATGAGTTTGACAATATGGAGCATGACAATTAGGTTCATTCAACACCCATTATTGCAGAAAACATTCCATACAATGCTACTAAAAGGAAAAGGGAGGAATGGAGAAAAGGCAGGAAATAATGTTCTGTTTGTACTCCATCCAACACACACTAGCATTTACCTTTCAAACTGGTACTTTACAAACTCTGGGGCTGATACCTTTTTTGTTGAGTAGCAAAATATTCTGCCAGGAGTTTAAGGGGCTGCAATTAATGTTACACCAATCTCATCAAGTACCACTCGATATTTTCTTTGTGCAATGTATGCCCTGTAGAGAAATGCATCCCTTTCTACTTGCAGAGATGGAGTACTAGGCTGTAAAAATGATAAGAAGACTTTAAGTCCACCTCCTCCTCACAGACTACCATCTCAGTGGTGAGGATTGCATGTGCCTGTACGTTGAAGACCTATGATGATTGGAATCTCTAAATTCTGATATGCTCTCCCAAGCCAGACAGTGACAGAGGTTTAGGTGTGTGGGAGGGGAGTCTGGAAGGCTGGCTAGCACATTCCTTATATAAACTTCAGCTTCAGAATTACACTGAACTAGATGGATCTACTTGGAAACAATCAGGCATGACACAGATTTCTACTACACATGAGCAACAGACTGAAAGCAAAAAAGTAACTATTTTGACGTAAATACGTCTATATGGAAGGGTCATTTCGCAAAAAAGTGACAGAAAAATGTGTAAGATCCGTATCAACAAATCGACAACAATGTGTAAATATGGACCGACAACAATGGTCAGCTTGCGTGCATTGTTATGTTACCTAGGAAACGTCATGTTTACTCGGCATTGTTGTGTTACATTATCAACAATCCGCTTTCGTAACAAGATGGATGACATTGAAGATAACATTACACTACAGAGACGTAAATATAATTTAAATACAGAGACGTATTTACGTTAAATTCTTCGGAACCGTGGTTCCACTGTAACTTTTTAAATGAGCCATGTGAAGAGAAGGGGGAATGATCCACCCACTTTCGACCTCAGCATCTGATGCAGAACAGTCAGTGTCAACTTAATCTACCACTTGAAAAAACAAAATAATAATTGCTTATGTACCATTTGTTGCTACACGTTCGTAATATGTGCGGTATACTTCGAGGTAGGATTTGCAACGATACATTACCAATAATTTCGTACACAGCACGACTCGAAACGATACACATCTAATGCGTAAAATACTTGGAAAAATGCACCATTATTGGTAAAATATACAAATTCATGACTGTAGAACAGAGGTAAAAGTAAATAATTTATACAACCAATACTACACTTACTTTCAATTTTTGTGCTTCGTTGATACATTGTTGATAATTTCCAATATAGAAGGCATTTTTAACATCAAATAATTCATCAATTTCTCCTTGCTGACGTGCCATTTCTTCTCTGCAAGTCTCAATCCTCCATACAACAAGCTGACCGCAGTTAATGTTACCAACATAATGGAGTATCTCGCAGTATTCCCATTTACAATAGGGAATTTCTTACTCCGCTAATGGCATGTGCGATAACCTTATAAACTTGGTTGCGAGGAGTATAGCGTGTGTATAGGTATGTTCTGTTTAGCTCGTCTTGTTTTTGTATTTCGGAATAGGTTGTGTTTTACTGTTATTAGACCAGTAAGTTTTATATATAACTTTATAATACGATGACTACTTTCTCGAGATAAATTGAATTAGTTTGTTCTTCAACTTGTAATTGTAAATAAACCCTGAAAGGTTAGAAAACTACGCACGTTGTTAGGATTTTTTTAGGTGAACGTGTACACAGATCGTCTATCAATCTGCTTGTACATTTCTTCGGCTCGGAATATGGCACATACTTGCACTTTTATATTTGTAAATTGTTTGGAAGTGTAGGAATATTTAAAAGTTATTCCATTATTACTGTTGTGTGGTGTATCAAATTTAAAAACTTGGGATATTGAAATGAACACAACCAGTTTCTTTCATTAATGACATATTGCTAATGATAACTGTATTTTACATTGCAGATCTTAAATAAAAATGGATATAACCACATTATTTAAGGCCTGCGTGAAAACTATACGAACGCGCAATAAAGCTTTTGGAGTGGCGGATACTGATAAAAACAGAATTTTTGGAACCAGGACACAAAGGAATGAATTTAATATTGGAGCAAAGGAAGTACTGGGACAAATAACACGTCTGAGGGATTTTCTGTTAGAACATAGGAAAGCATACTTAAATTTTGCAAGTCATCTGTCAGACATTCCACAGATGACAGATGTAGAACGAGACAAAATAGACTTGGGGGCTCAGCGTATAATGAACACATGTTCTCACTTAATCCAGGAGTTCAAGAAAGTGTCTTACAAAATGGATGGATCACCACAGTTACTGGAACACAGAGAAGCAGTTCTGGATCTGGTTGAAAGTTACTTGAAGTCAGTATGCAAGATTTACTCTCAGCAGAGAGCAATTAGAGTAAAATGGGCTCTTGAGATGCAGAAAATTTCAAAGTTAGGAATTGATTCAAAGAGAAATGGTGACAGTCGTGCAGTTTCCCATAATAGCTCAGACATTTTTTTGAATGATAAAAAGAATGACATTCTGAGTGATAGCAATTCCGGTCAAAGGAAGGTGCCAGAGACAAGCAGTAATACTGATGTACCAGCATTCTTTTCAGATGATGACCAGCTTTCTTCTGAGGAGATGCAGATGTTTGAAGCAGAGAATGCACAGTTATATAATGAACTGAATAGTTTGACAGAGGAAGTAAAACAGATTGAAAGTAAAGTTGTGCGTATTGCTGAGCTGCAAGAAATTTTTACAGAGAAGGTTCTGCAGCAGGATAAGGATATAGACAGGATTACAAGTACAGTAATTGGAACAACAGAGAATGTTAAGGATGCCAACGAGCAGATACGGCAGGCTATCCAAAGGAATGCTGGTTACAGGGTATGGACATTATTTTTCTTCATTGTAATGTCATTCTCATTGATCTTCTTGCATTGGTACAATGATTAACAATAAAGTGCTTATGTAAGGATTAGCTACATAATTGTGGTTTAGTTTAAGGTGGACATGTACAGCATCGGGAAAATAATAATTTACATCTACTTTAATTACAACAGTCATGATGCTTTTTTAAAGTATCATATGTATATTTGTAGTGTGTATCACACCTGAGGAAAGTAAAAAATGCATATATTCAGTGCTTTTCATTTTCTGTTCAGGGCAAATTAGATGTATGTTTTTGTTAATGATCAGAATAATAATTATGTATGATACAAAATACTTGTTCATGACTGAGTTTTTATTTAAATAAACTGTAATTATATGTCATTTCTTATGTATTATATCTTATATTCAATAATTCCTCAATGTTTTTAAGTACATGCACCTTGAATATACTTCATGAACAATGTAGACAATAACAGGACACTTTAACCTCTTAACTGATACATGACATTACACTGCAATAAACAATGCTGAGTTGTCAATTCCAGGCCTGCATAGTGAAAAGTTCTATAAATACTATATTATTTTATGCACTATATATTATATGGTTTCCTGGGTGGAAACAGCAGCAGTGGAAGGATTTTATGTAACTTTCATAGTTTGAAAATTAGGTAGAGACAAGGTCACATAATAAATACCCACAAATACAAGAAACTACATGAAATGTCCCCAATAAAGCCATGTCTGTGCTGATGGATTTACACTGCCTTTGATTATAAGTTCAGCCTTTAACCTTTTATCATATGGGGATAGTGGATGTAATCCCTGTACAACAGGGCTGCCAACTGGGGTTATCTGTTTAGCAGTCTACTAGTACAATGCAAAGCCAATTAGCATGCCATGACACATGGTTAGTTAATGAAGGTTCATAATCCAAGCAGATATTGTTTAAACTATTACAGACAGTACTTCATTATGAAACAATGAGCACTAACAAGTAGCATCAAACGCTGAGATTTGTTTTTACTTAAAATGGAATGAAGTACTCACATATCACCTCAGAGGTGGCAGGCTTAATGCAGCTAGACTCAAAATGTACTTTTCTTCACATCTTTCCCATCCATTATCCTTTAAAAATGTCAAAGCTTTGTGAATGTGGAGAATGCCAGGCCTCCTCTGCAGTTTGGTATGCACTTGAAGGTAGAACTTTCCTCTGGCAGCCATCTTCATCTTTATGTGGTAAGCAGAATCCTTCCCTATGTGCACACCTTCACCCTTGACAAGGCTAATAACAGTTAACTCAGACACAGGCCACTGGAGGAAACAAAAAAGAAAGAAAAATCTTAACCATGAATTAAATGACAGGTGTGACACTACACAGGATGCACCTCACTGTGTTATTTCAGTTTTTTGAAATGCACTGAACATTTATTTATGGTTTATTTAACAATACAGTCAACAACTCTTACTATATAGTACTGATGATAAAATGACTGATGAATAAATATTGAATTGGGAAGGATATGGAAATAAGCAGTTATGGATTAATTTAAGTATCCTGGAATTTGCCCAGAGGGACTGGGGATAACCATCTCCAGACAAAATATGAACCCTGTGCCTTCTGAATACAAACCAAAAGTGATAACCACTTGGCTGCAACAATCAGTAGGAAATGCGCTATAAAATCCAATTTTACATGGCAGAGTCATGGTAAAGATGAAGCACTAGAACTACATATGAATTCTTTTACTCACAATAACCCTAATATCAAGCAAGGGGCAATTTCTCGGGTATATGACACTTTTCTCCTTAAAATGTTTCACTAAAACCTGGGTGCATCATAATTTGAAGGTATAGCAGTTATTCTGATAAAAGCTGCACACTTACTGAGTGTTTTTTACAGTCCAGAAAATATGCTGTTTTCTGGGGGGCCTTAAATCTCGTGACTGAAGCAGCTGTTTAGATATAAGTTCAATTGGGTTGCCATGACAAACACAAATCACAGATTACAAAAGTAAACAGAGGACTGTAAACAAAATTCTGAAAACATTTTATTTATAAGAGCAATGTTTCCTTTGCAAACTCATGGTCTTGATGGTACTGTCTTTTCAGAGGTTTATTCACTTGGTTTAAAATAAACTGAAACAACATTAGTAAAAATAGCAGAATGATTCTTTCACTGGGGACTGCTTGTTCATTCACACATCATTCAGTATAAAGAATCTCCACATACTGCCAGATGACTATGGACATTTGGTTAGGCCTTGTCAGCCTTTAATATAATTATTATTCAAGGATACAAAGTATCATAATCATTCGTTCTTAGGCTAACAAAAACAAGTAATATCAGTACAAGTTACATTGCGGAAACCTTTTCGTAAAAGATAATGTTGCACTTTATTCAAGTGTCAAAGCAAACACAATGACCTATCCAAGTCATTCCATTATTAAGTACCACTGAGCATCAGAATTAGATTATTGATATCAACAATCAAATTACATACAGTACATAAATATGTACTCAGATCAATATAATAAGCAGTTCCAGCAATGTAAAGGTGCATTTCTGAAACAAAACTGTTACACTAGTTGTCTTGTTGGGATCATGGTGGTAAACAAGTTTTGTAAAATGCAGAAAATAGAAACACTGTTACTTGTCATCTTCATAAAAGTTTAAACTGTTAGAACTTGTTCTAGGCCACATCTGTGTTGCAAAGGAAACAGAGTATATTATGTAATGAAAAAGAAAGTACAGGAGCAAGCAATGCAAAGAAACTTCATTCTTCCTTTGTTAAACCCTGTTTTCTGAATCTTGAGCTAGAAAACTATTACATCACATATATAATGGCTTTATTTCTGAAACCTGGTATCTGGAATTGCTACTTCTTAACCCTTTGACACAAACATTTGTATCTGCCCTTATTTTAATATTACTTGCTCATTATATTAATTTCTTCTATTCACATTATCTGGATAGTCATGGCATGTATCCTTCATGCTGATAAGACTGGCTATTCAACTTCATTGCACCATTAATTACTCAGAAGGATAGAAATAATAAAATGCAATTTTGCTGTTAGAAGTGGCACATAATTTAGCCAGCCTTTATATGGGCTAAATGTTTCAGTGTACAGTGTCTCACATAAATTTATATTCTTTATGGATATGTTTAAAAATACTCTTTAATTTCATATTGGTCTTTCTTGCTTTTCAAAAAAGCAAGTGAAATCCTACTCAACCTCTCATAATATAACATCAGTATTACAATTGCACTGGAAGTCACATTTTACAAAGGATTTGTCTGATGGCTGTAAGCAGAGTCCAGTTCAAGATTAACCAATACATGGAGAAAAGCACTATATTACTTGTTCTGTATGAGTTAATTATTGTGTATTTACTTTCTGGTGCTACTCCAACAACTGCACTTGTCAGTGACAAAATAGTATGACAGCTCTTGTTCTGAAATATAGTAACTGTACAGTAATTGATGAAATCAGTGATTTCATAGCAAATTTCCTTAAATGTATGCTGAAGCTTACTAAGAGAAACCTCAACCAGACTTCAATGTGTATTTTCTATGGTAAAACAATGTTTTGATATGTAGTGACATTTCCCTTAAGAGTCCATCTTCAAAATTACAAATTTAAATAAAAAAAACATATAAAAACATTTACTCGCAGAAATTTAACACCAAGAAAACTGGACTGAGATCATAATTTAATCCTAGAGGGAAAATCAAATATATGAAGTTTGTTTCAAA